TCAAGTACAGATTTCGTGGCAGGCGCAGCACTTTGGCAAGGTCAAGTGCAGATTTCGTGGCAGGGGCAGCACTTTCGCAAGGTCGAGTGCAGATTTCGTGACAGGCGCAGCACGTTGGCAAGGTCAGGCACAGATTTCGTGGCAGGTGCAGCACTTTCGCAAGGTCGAGTACAGATCTCGTGGCAGGCGCAGCACTACAAGGAGAGAGAGAGACATAGATACATAGAGAGATAGATGGATAGATAGATAGATAGATAAAGAGATAGACAGATAGATAGGTGGATAGACAGATAGATAGATATAGATAGATAGATAAATAGATAGATAGATACATAGATAGATAGATAGATGGACAGATAGATAGATAGATGGATAGATAGATAGATGGATGATAGGTAGATAGATAGATCGATCGATCGATAGATAAAAAGAGAGAGAGATAGATAGATAGAAAGATAGATAGGTAGATAGATAGATAGATAGAAAGACTAGATAGAAAGTAGATAGAAAGAAGATAGATAGACAGATAGATAGATAAATAGATAGATACAGAGATGGGTAGATAGATAAAAGGAGAGAAATAGATAGATAGATGGATGATAGGTAGATAGATAGATAGATAGATTAGATAGAAAGTAGATAGAAAGTAGATAGATAGATAGATAGATAGATTAGATAGATTAGATAGAAAGTAGATAGATGGACAGACAGATAGATAAACAGATAGATAGAGAGATAGGTATATAGACAAAAGGAGAGAGATAGATGGATAGAGAGAGAGGGAGAGATAGATAGATACACAGATCGAGAGATAGATAGATAGACAGAATAGATTGAATGTAGATAGTTAGAGATAAATGGATAGATAAAAACGAGAAGATTGATAGATAGATAGATGGACAGGTAGATAGATAGATTGGTAGATAGGTTTCAGAGAGAGAGAGATGGGTAGATAGAGAGATAGAGAGAGAGAGAGAGAGGTAGATACACGAGAGATAGATAGATAGATAGATAGATAGATAGATAGAGAGAGAGAGAGATAGATGGACAGATGAATAGATAGATAGATAGACAGATAGACCGATAGATAGATAGACAGATAAATAGAAAGAAAGAAAGAAAGAACGATAGATAGATAGAGTGATAGATGCATAGATAGATAGAAAGATAGATAGATAGAGAGAGATAGATACAGAGATAGTTAGATACACGAGAGATAGATGAAGAAAGAGAGAGGTAGATAGATAGAAAGATAGAGAGATAGATAGATATAGATAGAGAGATAGATAGAGAGGTAGATAGATAGATAGATAGATAGATAGATACAGAGAGAGAGAGATAGATAGATAGATAGACAGATAGATATATAGATAGATACACGAGAGATAGATGGAGAGAGAGAGAGAGAGATGGATAGATAGATAGATAGGTAGAAAGAGAGATAGATAGATAGAGAGATAGACAGAGAGATAGATAGATAGATAGATAGATAGAGAGATAGAGAGATAGAAAGATAGAAAGATAGATAGGTAGATAGATAGATAGATAGAGAGATAAATAGATAGAGAGATAGAAAGATAGATAGACAGATATTTAGATAAACACAAGAAAAAATAGATAGACACAAAGAGAGATAGATAGATAGGTAGGCAGATAGATACATAGATAGAGAAGAGAGAAAAGAAAGAACGCAAAAACAAGCAAAACGAAAGAAAGACAGAAAGAAAGAAAAGAAGGGCGGAAGGAAGGAGAGAAAGAAAGAAAGAAAGGAAGACACACAGAATGACGGAACAAAGAGAAACCGGGAACAGGAAGAAGAAGAAAGAAAAGAAAGAGACACAAAACTATAGTGTTTATATCTTTGAAACTTCCGCCCTCCGGCTTCGCCGGCTCTACTGGTATGGTATGGTATGGCATGGTATGTATTGTATGTATGTAATTGTGTACGTATCTATGTTTGTATGTATGTATGTAATGTATGTAATGTAATGTAATGTAATGTAATGTAGTGTAATGTTGTGTAATGTAGTGTAATGTATGTATGTATGTGTGTAATGTAATGCAATGTAATGTAATGTAATGTAATGTAATTCAATGTATGTATGTATGTATGTATGTGTGTTATGATGCATATATGACAATATTGGAGAGTCGTTCTAGTTTTTCTTGCAAGCAGTTTAGTATTCGGCGACCATCGTTAGTAGATACCTTTTTGCGTACAATCTTGAAAATTAATGAGATATGAAAGCTTTGCGTGTGTGTGTGTGTGCGCGCGCGTGCCTGCGTGCCTGCGTGCCTGAGTGCGTGCGTGTGCGTATGTGTGTGTGGGTGTGGGTGTGGGTGGGTGGATGGGCGTGCGTGCGCGTCCGCGTGTGCGTGTGCATGAGCGTGGGAGTGGGCGTGGGCGTGGGCGTGTGCGTGCGTGTGCGTGTGGGTGCGTGTGCATGCACGTGTGCGTGCGCGTGAGTGCGTGTGTGTGTGTGGGTGCGTGCGTGCGTGCGAGTGTGTGTGTGTGTCTATGTGTGTATGTGTGTTTGTGTGTGTGTTTGTGTGTTTCTGTGTTGTGTGCGTGTGTGTTTGTGTGTGTGTTTTGTTTGTTTGTTTGTTTGTTTGTTTGTTTGTTTGTTTGTTTGTTTGTTTGTTTGTTTGTTTGTTTGTTTGTTTGTTTGTTTGTTTGTTTGTTGTTTTGTTTGTTGTGTTTGTTTGTTTGTTTGTTTGTGTGTGGGTGTGTGTTTGTATTGCGTGTGTGTTGTGCGTGTTTGTGTGTGTGTGTGTGTTTGTTTGTGTGTGTGTGTCTGTGTGTTTGTGTGTTTGTTTGTGTGTGTGTGTCTGTGTGTTTGTGTGTGTGTTTGTGTGTGTGTACTGTGTGTTTGTCTGTGTGTGTGTGTGTTTGTGTGCTTGTGCGTGTGTGTGTGTGTGTGTGGGTGAGTGTGTGTGTGTGGGTATGGTTGTGTTTTTGTTTTGTGCCGTGTGTTTTTGTGTGTGTGTGTGTGTGTGTTTTGTGTTTGTGTTTGTGTTTGTGTTTGTGATTATTTGTTTGTTTGTTTGTGTGTGTTGTTTTTTTGTGTGGATGTTATGTATGTTATATGTTTTTGCTTCAGCTGGCAGACCCGTCAGAGGCAGCCCGCGAAGTGCAGCTCTTGCATGGCGCTCCTTGGCTGACTCGTGTTTGGCTCGGCTGCGCACAAGCACGCTGTGTGGCATGGCACACCGACGGCGTGGCTTTGCGCGTGTCCGAGTGTCCTAGGTTCTCTCCAAGATGTCTGTCGCGGGCATGCTCGGCCTGGCCAACATCTCTCGCTTCAGGCACATCTCGGCATGTTTGGGGCTTGCAACATCTGCGGGGCTAAGTGTCAGATTCCTTGGCTGGTGTTTGGGAACGGTCCGGAGGACAGAGATCTGTGAAGGCATCCGCGAAGAATTGGCACATTTGCGGCTGAGGCTATGTAGGGAGTCCGCTGAAGCCAAGCTTCAAGGCTGAGGCGCTGTTTTCCGTGTGCGGTGAATTTCTCTCTGCTTTTGCAACAGAATTGCTAGGCGGAAACATTATGGGTACACGTAGGCGATGGCACCATATTTGGGTTGGCACTCATTGAAGGGGGTTGTGCTCGCTTGATCAATGGGAACACCGTGGGAAAAGCTGCGTCCTGGCTGCAGGATGCTCACTCGATGGTCATATCACCCCTTTCCTTGCGGGGCGTATGAAAGTGTGCACCCTGGGTGTTTGAGCCATCCTTGAGTCGTTTGAGGCGGCTCATGATTCAGGGCGACCGCATAGATGCACGTGGCTTACCGCCACCCAAGCCCACGGCTGACTGCCTGGGCAACTGTATAGGAACCTAGGCCAAGCCTTGTTCATTTGGCATTTTCTGTCGCGTAGCCGGTAGCGCGTGGACAAGCTAGCTGAATGGATTTCAGGGGCGGGACGGGGCAGATGATACCTATTTGCCATTCCCTCGCGAAGCCTAGAGCAACGTGGGATTGATTGCGCTGATGTTTGCGAGTTTGGTTCATAGGTCGTTGGCCTGACGTACAGTCAGGCCGCACGCGACTCGGAGAGCCAAACTCATAGCTTCAGTTTCAAAGTCTTCAGCGTGCAACTGTCGATTTCATGACTCAGCGATTCCACAACATCAAAGCTTGAAGCAGGTGGCTTGTGCTGAGATTATTGGAAGAGCTCAAGACTCAAGAGGCCGCACAATTCTGGGTGGAATCCGTTTGTGTCCATGCGCTCATCGGAACCTTGACTGAGCTGCTTGGATGCCATTTCATCGCCATGCGTCTCCGATGACGGCGCGACAGGGCTGCTTTGTTTTGCGTTCGCTGTGCAATTGGTTTCCCCCTCGAGCCGACTTTTGGGAGCAGCCCGGTCAGGCCGGGACTGTCATCGGCCTGAACCACAGTCCCGAAGCCGTTCCCATACTTGAGTCAGGCGAGATCCGTTGATCCCTTTGTCTCGAGCATATTGTCTCGAGCGGTAGTTTGGCGGTTGGCTTTCGCCCATGACTGGTGCCTTTGCAGCTTTGAATGTCGACATGGGGAATCGCTTATTTGGCACTGCTCATTTTTGCGGTGATTGGCGCACTCACCCGAACCGCCGCGACTCGGGGTCAACTGGAACGCACATGTGAATGGCATGTCCAGTGGATGCAAAGCATCTTGTGCAAGTTGGCCGTATGGGTCACCTTGGCTTCGAACTGCATTTTCAACACAGCCTGCAGCCTGGAACACATGGGCGCCGCTCGAAAGCATTGGTCGAGACAACCAACTCCCTGTTTTAGAGGGGTCAGAATGAGGAGAAGGAGCAGAATCTAAGTTCTAGTCTGCTCACATTGCAAAGATGCATGTTGCAGGCTTTGTGAAGTATGTTGGCCAAAGGACTTCTGCCCGAACCTGGAGAGAAGAGAAAAGGACAGCGGCGCGTAGCATCGTAGCGTAGCGTAGCGTAGCGTGGCGCTGGCATCAAGTAAAGTTTTGAAGTTAAGCGAAGCGGGGCCAAGGCGCTCCCGGAGGGCTGGATCGCCCAGTCAGCCGCCAGCTACGGAGGCGCTAAGACCCAATTGGGGTGTGCATCGGGACGAATCATAGGAATTGGGAGACGTTTAGCAAAGGAATTGTGCATCTAAATGCTGGTGCTCAAGAGACATTGATCACAGAGGATTGGGAGTTTGCGTTGCAGAACGGGTCGTCGTGGGGCCTGAGTTTTTCATCACAACAAAAAATACGAGTTTCCCAAAACACATGCTTTTGTTAACCACAACATCCTAGCCCCATGGCTCCAGATCCTGAGTTGTGCCCACATGCTAGCGGTAGTTTCCCCACTCTCACCTAGCAATTGCATCTTGTACGTTGATTGTTCTCTTCGCCCCGATACAGCTTGTTGCTTTGCAGCTCTGGCCACTGTTGTAAGAAGAACAAGTATAAGGCCACTTGAACCAATCCCCAGCAAATTGAGCAACCCTGGTTCCCTTTGAATCTTTGGGCCTCCCTTCACCATCCGAAAGATCCGAGAGGTAGTTCTCCCTTGGTTTCCTCGAAAAAAGCTCGAGCCCCCAGTGCGACGCCAGCCCGACAGTGGATGCCCTAAATATTGCAAGTAGGACGAAGGAAGTCCTCAAAGTTACCGTGGGTTGCCTGGGGCTGCCTAAGAACCAGAGAAGGTGTGTTTCTAGCAACTTGACCTCAAGCTCCCCCCCCCCCACCGTTCCTTCCGACACGATGGCTGATGGCTGGCTCCCGATACACATCACGCAATCGCTCGCTCCCACACGATCGTTCTCTCCCACCCGACCGTTCTCTCCCACTCACCTGCAATCGTTCTTTGCGGCACGATCGTGCTCTCCCACACGATCCTTCTCTCCCTGCAATCGCGGCCGGCGCCGAAGATGTTGCAGTCCTTTGGTTTTTTGGCGGATGTTTTTTCTACAATTTGATTCTGGATAAGAATGGGGAAGGTAGTACTGCGCGAGTGCGTCTTCTCTTCCCCTGGAGTTGCAGGAAGGGTCAGCGCGAGAAAGGTCAGAACGCACACATTCTCCTTTCCACCTTTCCCGCATGATTGTTCTCTTTGGCACGATCGTTCTCTCCGTCGCGAGTGTACTCTCCCACACGATCGTTCTTTCCCGCATAATCGTTCTCTTTGGATTCTCTTTGGCACGATCGTTCTCTCCCGCAAGATTGTTCTCCCCATTCACGCTTCGGGGCAGGCTTCTTTTTTTTTATCAAGCACATTCTCTGTCAAACAATGGTAATAAGGGGTCGTCCTGCTTCTGCGGCAGTCAGCAGCCTGCATGATCCTTGTTGAATTCTGATAGGGGGATTTCCTGGTTTGCAGGGACTGCTGTGAGCCAGGCTTGCATGGCTACATGGTTGCGTTCTGAGATCCACTCCCACACTCACACAACGGGTTTGGGACGCTGAAAGTTGACCTTGCGTTCCACTGCTATCCTGTTTGGTTGCCTTGACCCCGTCCCCAACAACGTATTCGGGTTTTAGGGTGCGCCAGATGGGCCACATGGGGTCTGTCGTGTCATTTTGTATGTTTGGAAAGCTGAACGTGTTTTGCCCTCTTGGGAAGTGCAAAGAGCTCGAGTTGTCAAAGACAGCCCAAGAATAAGGAATTTGCTCAAGTAGAGTGTCTACGGTTGACTAAAGCGTCATTAGCGTTTGACCAGTTTATATAGACACGTGAAACAATACTTGAATCATTGCGTCTTTATCTTAAGCTATGTGAACTGAAACTATATGTGTGTTGAATTCTATTGGTTTTGCGTTCTGTTTCAGGGGCAGGCCAGTTGGAAGAAACAACCACGCTGTCTTGTTTGTGAACTCCATGTTTTTAAGGATCGAGTCAAACTTCATTTACATCCCGATTTGGCAAGGAATTCGTATTCAAATACTTAGCTGAGGATAAAGAATCTAATTGAATTGTGTCCTTTTACCGTAAACATGTGTTTAGTGTCTGATCAAATGTTCAATCTCCTTCGGATGGAATTCCTATCTAAATTCTAACTTAAGATGGGACTTCTACTTGCTTATTGTTGAAACTGTG